AAACTTGCTCTGCTTTCTCTTGTAACCCTGGTTAATATTTGACCCATCATCAAATTTATCTCCTTGTCAGTTCTCCGGACCCACTCCACATGTGATTCGTGCTGTCTCTCGCTTGGTACCTCTCACTTTGTTTGTTTCTATTTGAATTTCCAGCAGCAAGTTTGTACTAGACACAGAGTTAATCAACTAGAAAGGTACTTAAATTTATTTAAGTTATTTTAACTGACACAGTTAGATGGTAAACTCTGGGGCTTCATCACCCTCTTCTCCCCTTCCCTCTCCAACCACACACAGATCCCCCTGCCACATACACCCATACACGCAAATGAGGGGCATCTACAAAACAGGTCATAGTTGAACGGCTTATTTGAAAATCTGGGGAGAAAAATGCCTAAATTTTACTTGTGCCTTGATAGTCAGGAATTTTCCCAAGATACCCTCACATTAAAAAGAAAAGCAGGCACTGAATAAACAATGAGGGCATTCTTCATTTACAGACAGCCTTTGAATCTTTCAGGGCATCTGCCAATAAAAACAATTCCAAGATAAACAGCCCATTATTTATTAATCAACACCAGTGTACTTGGCTCTGCGAAAAGCACAATTGCAAGCATTATGGCTCACAGGCTTCCCTAATTCAGGGGCGGTCCAAACCAGGAACACACCCCAGGCAGTCTCCAGCAGGGCTGTGGTTAAAAGGCCACTCTGGGGAGTTAGCAAAGGCCTGCTGTCATGATGGGATATTGTAGATCCCAGGAACTGTCCACAAGGTGGTGATTCCACCGGCACAGAGAGCTTCCGTGAACAGCTGCCCATGGTCCATTCTGTTAGAGAAACAATTTGAAGACCTTAAGAACAAGTGATATAAACTGGTAAGGTTTCAGAGCCATGCAAGTAGAAAAAAAATCAGAACCCATAAAGGTCATAACAGTTTCCAGTTGAACTGTGTGTACAGATGAGAATTTTAAACCTTAATGAGAAAAATAATTCCTGATGTTAGGCATTATCTTTAAATTCTAATTCACTTCCTGTCTCTTAAAATAATTGGTAGGACTTGGAACACTTAGCTCACTTTGCAATAAGTATGCAATATCAATAGCTTGTGATTCCAAAAAGTTTGCTTAACATTAAGAGTAGGGATGGTCGTTTTATTAATTGGATTTCTACTTTCTTTACTATTCACAAGGTACTCTTTGTAAGGAACAGCTGTCTTGAGGCAGAACCCCGGAAAATTCTTTCAAAGCTTAGCACTTTATGTAATTAGTTTTCAGTTCTCACTTCCGTGCAGAGAGACTCCTAACAGGAAAACTGCAAATGCCACATGGTTAAGTTTTCAGCATTCTAAATACTAACACTCTGCATCACACCAAAGGTAAAGGTTGTTCTCCAGCAATCTCAGTCAGGACGGTCATGTTTCAGAGTCTGGCAGGAAGTAATACTATAAAAGAAAAAAACAAAAACAAAAACAAAAAACAAACTTGAGGCAGTCAGTGGAGGGGCAGAAGCAGGGAGAATAAGGGAACATGTTCCCAGGTGTATATTCAGGCGGGCAGCTGTTACTTTTCACTTAAATCCAGACTAGGATAAAAAGTGCTTCTGCCCTACCAACAGTCAGTTCAAGAAGAAACAAAGGGAGGTCAGACAGGAGCACAGTGGTAAAACACAACAGCCTGCCAGGTGATCTCCCATGGAGTGCTTCCCAGTTCTAGTCCAGAGACCTCCCTGAGAACACATGGGGCATCTACTCACCCACGATCTGGGACTGGTTACAAGATAAGTGCGATCACGCAGTGAGACCCAGCTGGGAGTTCTCTCTCTCTCTCTCTCTCTGTCTCTCCTGCCTAAGGAAGAAATAGATGAAAGGAAGGAAAGAAAGTAAAAAAGAAAGGAAGGAAGAAGACTATACATGGAATATATAATGTGTATCAAGTTGGGAAAGATCAGCGTGTGTGACTAATTGTAGTCACAAGACCTGGC